GGCGGGTGTCGGTACGGCAGGAAACGGTGGCTCGGGAAACGGTAACGGTGCAGGCGGCGCGGCATCCTGTCAGTTTGCGCCTCCAAAGTACGACGAGATACCGCCGTACGGTACCTCGGGTCAATCCGGACAACAACAAGCTACTTCCGAACTGTCCGGCAGCGACCAGTCGGGCTCGTCCGGTAGAGGCTCGGCCGAAGACGACGGAGAAGACGAAGAGATTCGAATGATAAACGAAGGTCAACAGACAGGGGATTCGGCCAGTGATCTGTCTGTCCATAATACTCAAGAATATTTGGCCAGGTTAGGTATCGTGGATCCTCCGGCTGGTACGCCCAGAAGGCCACCCGAAGCTTTGCCCCTCGACAGCCTGCATCTGTTCGAAGACGAGGCTGCCACGGAGGCAGACATCGCCACGTTAATTTATGGCAAGATCGGCGAACCTGGAAGACCCATGTCCGGTTTGGAAGTGCCCGGGGGTCCGTCCATGAACGGCTCCTTGAGTTCCATCGTGCACAGCGAGGAGGAGTTGACGGGATCCTACAACTGGGACTACCTGCTCGACTGGGGTCCTCATTACCAACCTCTGGCTCACGTGTTCAGCGAAATAGCCAGGTTAAAAGACGACGCTGCCAGCGTTCAGAGCGGAAACTCGGGAAGCAGCGGCAAGACCAAGTCTGTACATAAAGCTCCGCCCCCACCGTTGCTCACTTCCGTTGCTCCTAGGTCTTTGGCGGCCCCGGCGTTGGCCAGAGGCATCCTTCCGAGGTCTCCCATTAGTCACGACGCTTGCACGTTTCCTTCCGCCGCTCTCAGTCCGAGTTTCTCCCCGTCCTTGTCCCCTCTTGCCACTAGAAGTCCCAGCATCAGTCCTTTGGTGCCACCCGCCACCCAAAGGGCCGGTCAAAACGCCAATAGAGGTATTCCAGTTACCGACGCCGAACTGAGGATCTAAAAGTACTTCGAAGCGATCGTTCGTTTACGTCAGGTGTTAGTATTAGTCGCGTGTAATCGATGACAAGAGAGAATCACGGCGATGCTTTAGAAAATGTGCCGATCGAGCGTTAGGGTAGATTCGATTTTGTGTGATTCCAGTGTGTAGCGTGTGTAAAATAGAGACTCTAAGATGACTGACCTTCGACGGGATTCTCGAAGGCTCCAAGGTGCAAAGAAACTATCTTTTTTAATGCGCATCGTGATAGACAAACGCCTCTTTTACGCTGTTAGAATCGAAGCGAATTTATTGTAGATAAACCTCGTCGTCCCGCAATAACCTTAACGAATAGATCGTATTCAAAGTCCGCGGAAAAGAGGCGATTGCGTCGATAGTATTTCCTTTACTCTATTTTTTCTATCTTTTTTTTGTACGATACGACTGTTACTTGCCGTTTCGATCATCGGATCGATCGATAGCCGAAAAATACTCGAAGTTGTTGTAAATAAGAGGTGCCAACGCGAGCGCGTAGTTATTAAGTAAACCTGTACATACTTATCATACGAACGGACAAAAGGAAGCAGCGATTGCTTCTTATAATCAAAAGGATAGACTGCCTTATCGTGAACGAGCTCGATGTTCCTGGCATGCTCGGTGAAACTCGCGTGTGTACAGTGACGTATATAATGTTTAGAGACCGAAACGAGTTCGATTATTCGAACGATTGTTTCCTCGAGCATGGTAAGTAGCATCGGGTCAAAATGCGACGACACGAGCGAACTGATCATTCCGATATTCGTGATCGCGTATCTCCGCCCATTTTTAAACCGTCTCCATATAATTTGTCGACTTTCCTCGTTCGTCTTTCGCGCGAAATCTCGATGTTACGGAAGACGAAACTTCTGCCAGGTACATACGCATAAATGTTAGGAAATAGATATTGTCATATTTTGTATAAAACGAACTCTTTGTACAAAGACTCCCCCGTGAGCCAGGGATCCGCCTGACGGTGGATCTTAAATAAATGAATTTTTTAGGAAATTTACGTTCTTGTATGCAACCCTTCGCCTTACCGCTTAAACGAAAATCGAATAAATTAGGGAAGGTAGGTATTAAGAAACAACGCATGGTCTTGTATAAATCTGCATCTTGTTATACAACACATTGAGCCTTACAAGTATATTCACACTTAGTCTTTGATGTATTTTGATAAATTCTTTCTCTATCCTCCCCTTACCACCGCTATGCTAGAAAAACAAAGAGCGCCGTCTTGTTTGCTACTCGAACAGAAGAAGTGAAACGTGAATGACCGTAACAAGCAAGATTATTCAACGTAAACTGCGATGAGAGTTCGATCGATCGAAATGTTACGTAACGAAAGTAGCGCGTGTTCCTCGGACGGTCAAGGAACGAATAACTGTCTCTACGAAGCACTATTTTATCCAGTTAATTTGTACATTTAAACAGTCTCTACGAGAGAACACGTATCGACCTACGTTCCTAAGGTCTAAAATTAGTAGATTCTCTTGAAAATTCTTCTATAACGTTTACAGTTAGTAATTCAAATGGCATGTCCAGTCTTAAGACAGCTCGTTGACGAGCGCTAGATATATTCTGCTTTTTTTTCTCGTTCGTGTTCATTGGATCCGTGTTACGAAATCGAGAACCGTGTATTCGGGTTATGAACGAACCCCTCGCGAGGACAAGGCTGGTCAACGAATGCACAGAGGTACGAATATACCGTTCTCCTCGAAGCGTATCGGGACGAACGTTTTCTTTGTTTCAAAGAGATTCTGTGCACCGATTCTGGTTCATCGATGGTCCAAAAAGTTGAATTCCGTACGAAAAAAGACTAAAGGAAGCTACATATACATACTTCTATAGGTATTGTTTCCAAATTCTCGGTCTACGATCTGGTAGTGTTGAACGACAACTTTACAGGTTTCAATTGATATCACAACGTTCCTAAAATCTACGTGTCCTTATTATAACGCAAAGTGTGGCATACAATCTTTTGCTTAACTCGTGTTCTTCTTTTTTTTTTTGTTGTAATCATCCGCGTCGTCGCTAACACTCGAATTTCGATGTTAGATATGGGACGTTCGCCGCAAAAGTGATCGTGGTGCCGTGCAACGGTTCGCCCATTGCCTTCAGTGACAATTTTTATGAAAACAGATGAAATCGATCCTCGAACGTCTCGCGAAATCGAGACACGGTCAAGTTGTTAATTGTACAAAAGATAATCGTGGCAGTACAAACGATCGGTCGTCAAACATTTTTTTTTTTTACTCGAGCGAGGCAATGAGCAAACGTTGTTTTACACTCGACAAATTAAAGGAGCTTTTCTCTCTACTTTCGAAGCGGCCGTTTAGACAACAGCCGCAATAAAATAAGGCACCACGTTCGACGCTGTTTCACGCGATCATTGGTATTACGGAGTGCGATCGTTGGTTGCTCGAACAAGCCGCTACAAAAGCTCGAAAACGGTCTCGTTATTGCTACGTTATAACCCTTTCGCTGCTATACTCGTCAAGCTAAAAGTGTACGCACAATTTCTGTCTTTCCTCGTGGCAATTGTTCGCGAACTAACGTTCGTCTCGCGCAGAGAAAGGGTCAACGGCGCTGAAACACGATATATGCACCCCCTTTGATATTGACTTCACGTTTGATACGTTTGATGATCTCATAATTGTTTGGCAAACGCGCAAAGTTTGCCGTGAACGGTACAGCGACAACTGTTTATCGCGAGACGATAGAAAGACGCGCGACGAGATCACGCGACACGATGTTTCTTTGATCCCCGTTGAACGCATTGTAATCGATGGTGTTCGCTACTAAACTAAAAATCGGGATGAACCGCTAGTCAAACCGTCTCTTCGGTCACGCTCCTCGGTATCTGCAACACGCTGATGCTGAAACGAGAGGAACTGATTGAAAGGAGCCGCTCGAACTCGCGTCGGTTCGAAGCAGCGCTTTCGAGAAGCAGAATGCTGATACAAAGATGAATGTTACAACGTGAAATGATTCGATTTCTTATATACTCGATTATCGCTGTTCGATGAAATTTACAAGAGATTCGAAAACGAAGTTGCCGACTTCGAAACGTATGCAGTCCGATACGATTCGATGACGCAAATGTATCGTGGAATGGCGCTTATGGCGTATCAATTTGATCCTTAAGACTTGGCGAGAATGTAAACGATGAGAACCTGGCGCAGATCGTTTACATAGCGCGAGTAGCAAAGCAGAGTTAAGGGACGTAGCGAATGAATCGGAGCAAGTGTACGTGATCTTTTAGATCGTACAAAGTGATAGCCTAGCCCTACCAACAAGCTTGTTTACTTGGCGACGCCGGCTATCCTCGCGTCGTCTTGCATTTCGACGACGATGGTGTCAGGATCAGGTACCCTATTCGCGGAAATGCATCCGTTGGCGATGGTCGTTGGTAGAACGGTTTCCGACTGAAAATAATCAATCTCGATTACGTTTTCTCACGAGTCGATCGTATTTCCGATCAATCGATTCAAATACCTGGTAGGCTGCTGCGTCCAAAGCCATCAGCTCCTTTTTCGACAACTGCTCGACCACGGCAGCCGCGTAACAATCTCCCAACATGTTGTTCGTGGTGCGTATGCGATCTCTAGAATAGTCGGGATTGCGGAAAATGTAGGCTCGTTAATTAAAGCGTAATACAATCGAAAAGGATGAACTAATTCGATAGACGAAGGATGGTCAGGTGAATTCGGTTCGACAAGACGAATAGAAAAAGGGAACTAGAGCGACGTTGCTAACTGGGCAACGCATTTGGGTCGATGACCTAGTTCGCTTGCGGACAAACGAAAGATAGATGGATTAGTAAGACTATACGTACAACGGTAACGAATGGCCCGGTTTAAATACGAGCCATCGATATTTTGGCGATTCGACAGCTCGCTTTTATTACCCTCGAACAATGGAATTTCGCGAAAGAGCACGAGACTGCGGAAAACAGACGTCGCAAAATGAGAAAATAGGCACCGGAAGCGTAGTCGTTTACGCTGTCTATATTTAAAAACTATATCGCCGCAGGCATATTACGTCGATGCTCGCTCCTCGATACTTACACGAACCAGTCGATGGTGAACAGCAAAGAGACATTATAAACGGGAGCATCGATGGCGCTTAAAACGACGAGTAGAAGAACGAGGGCGGCGCTCGGAACCGACGCCGATGACACGGACGCGGCAGTCGAGGTTAAACTTGAAAAAGAAAGCTTCATTGGCGTAAAATCGATGGGCTGAAAAAGGCGACTAGAGAGCGGGAAAAAAGGATACTTACATAACCGTTATAATTTCACCGAAGCCCAAAACGATACCGTGCATCTGAGCGATGAATATGCTGGCTACGGCGACGAACAACGCCGTCCCGTCCATGTTAATGTTGCAGCCGATCGGCAAAACGAATCTGGTCACCCGAGGATCGACCCTGAGTTTGTCCGTCATCAGGCGGAACGTGACCGGAAGCGCGGCAGCCCTGTACAAAGTTGCGTTAGAAAAAAGTTCCGGTAGAGCTTGCGGCGAGTGACAAGAAAAGTAAGTTCATTCGTTGGCGCGCTGCGTTGCCGGTGTCCGTGAAGAACGGGTCATTCTGGCGTAAAATCGAGTGTCATTAATTCTCGAGAGATCTCGTAATTGTTGCATGGTCGTGAATGATGCTTCTGAAGGGCAATATGGCAATGAAACGGATGAGCACGAATCCATCGGGCGCGAATAGGAGGCAAGACGACAAAAGGTTGAAGGTACGCGTTATGGTCGATTGATAGAGCGTCCGGCGATTACAAATTGCAATGAACGGACAGGGCTCAAGAGACTAATAATAAACCAGAATGACCGCAAAGACGAACTGAAAATCAACCAGGGTTAATCGTCGAATATTCTCGTCGAATACGAACTCCGTCCATTCCGTCTCCCGGTCGTTTTCTTTTTTTTTAAACATTTTGTTTAAGCTCCTGGAACAGACAATCGTATGTATCTTCATGTGTGCGGCCATCGATTACTTACCAAGGCCACCCTCGGTCTCTGAACCACCTGCAAAAGGCCGCGTGCAGCGCGTGTTCTAATACATCATCATGATATTCATACAGTCTCTGTTCAGATACACTGAGAGCGGTTTCTCTCAGTCACAACCTCTCTTCTGGAAAAAGTTAATAGCCACATAGAAAATAAGTTGAATTAGAATAGTGATGGTACAGGACGTTCGCGATCTTGACCACCGCAATGATAGGACAGGAAGGCTCGATTCACGCTATAGCTACCTTTGATACAGGTACTTTCGAGATCAAATTATAATCACGGACAAAAGTAGGATGAATTCCGTAAACCATAACTCGTATTTTTCTTTCAAATCTCTTACGATCCACGAAGAAGAAAAGTAAAAGAAGGCGAATGAAAGATACTCCGAACGCTCGGTGACTAGTAGAGAATGATCTATAGCGTGAATAATAGGTAGTAAGGAAGGTCCGAAGTGATGCTCATCGAATTCGTTACTGGACGAATGCTTCTCTGTCCCAAGATGCATCGAAGGGAACGCACCGGGGGACGAAGGGGTGAACGAGGAAGGTAATAAAGTTCCAGGAAACACGGAGATGGGCAAAGGGTATTGAAGATGCCGAATGAAATGCTGATGGATAAACTGAAAAAATGATCGTTGCTTCGCGTGATCCACGATAATGAACATAGTCAGAGAAAGAAAATGATCGTAGCTCGGGGCTTCTGGCCAGTGATGGATGACGCCGGCAAACCTGGAAGAGCGGGCTCGACACGAGCAAACAATATTTTTTTCAGCTTTCCTCTTGTTCTGGGAAAATACTTAGATGGTAAACGTGATTGGCATAAAAGCCTCTTTACTCCTTTTGCCGGTATCTTCCTCTTCTGTCCTTTGTCTCGCTACGGCAGGACAGAGGATTCGGATAGCGAAGGCTTCCATGCCAATAATCAGTCCAGTTGACACGGAGTCAGCTGATTTCCGGCTCAACGGACACGGCCGACAAACGGTAACTCCGTGTACGGGTCGTTCTTTCTTGTTTTAACATGGAACACCATCGAAATTTCGGTTTATTCGACGTATCGTATGACGATGCTACAAATGGGAATCAAAGTATAGCCGAAAGTTCGTGGATGGTCGCTAATAACCGGGAGTATCCGCATCCTAAGTGCCACCCGGAACTGCATACCTCTCTCCCTTTCTCTCTCTTTCTCTCTTTCTTTCTCTCTTTCTTATTGGCAACGATGAGCTTTCCCCGCGAGCAACACTCAAGAAAACATAAAGGGCCCATAAAGGAAGAGGAACGGGACGATATCGACGGAGAGAGAAGGGTTCGTCAGCGTTTCACCACCGATTTAACGCTAGAACGATATTTTTGTTTATATGCTCGTATTCGAATAAGGAGTAAAGTGACGTTCTAGCGTCAAAGTATTCTGTTGAGCTTGTAAAACGCTGCTCAAAATGGATCGTTTTTGGAACGGTAGGTAGGATACGGCCTCGCAAAGCCTCTTCTCGGCTGGCTGAAACACATTTGTCTCTATGAATCGATTCGAATCGTGCGTTCACTTGTTTCTCGAGTCTTTGTCGTATCGTTGCACTAGTTTCTCTCTGCCTTTCCCGAAACGAAAAGACACCTCGTTAAATGAAACGGAAAACAAGAAATAGTTCGAAGGAAAATGAAAGTAAATTGCGCGTAATTTAGTAAAGGAGCAGGAAAAGAAACTGAAATGTCGACGACGACCGAGGCCATGTGAGGTAAACGATAATATTATGGGTACTCTGAAGGTCGGGCTGAGTTCGAAGATCGTCGACTCACGTTGATGCCATGGCGAAGGCGGTCAGTGTACCCTGGGCGAGGCCGGCGTAGAATTTAAAGGGGTTCTTTCTCACGAAGGCCAGATAGATCAGCTGCATGATCACCAGCTGATAGAAAAACACACCGATCACGATCGTGACGATGAACCAGGCGAGCTGCGACATCACCAGCGCCAAATCGGCGACGCCCAATATTTTGCCGGCTATTACCGAGGTGATGCCTACCGGTGTCATCCTGCAAAAATTATCGATCGTTTCAGAGCTTGAATGCCTCTTCGTCGTTTCGATAAACTACGCAAGTACACGTACCACATTACAGTCGACACCATTCGCATGATGACTTCGAAAACAGCTTTGAAGAAGTCGATCACGATCTGGCCTTTCTCCCCGAGCGTTCCCAAGAACGTGCCAAACACCAGGCAGAAGAAAACTATACCCAAGGTATTCGTGCCGCTTCTATATTGAGTTACTCTCATCAGCTCCTCGTCCCCCATAACATCCGTGGATATCGAATCCGTGAGATTTCGAAAAGGCTGGGTCTTTGGAACGTATACCGTGTGCGCCTATCGACAAAATTCAATCTCGTCGTTAGACACCAATTTGTCGTCGTTGATTAATCCTCGAACCGCAGGAACCACGTTTTTGCTGATCCTACGTGTGCTATAGAGTTCGTTCCCAATTTTTTCGCTCGAAAACTTGAATGCCTAATCGTTAATTATTCTAAACTGTCTGCGTCACGATTGACCCGAAGCCTGCCATTCGAGGGTTAATCGTTCATATTCGTAGAGTAATTTACCTGCTGAAAGGCTGCCTGGAAAATATTGTCCGGGAACATGTTCCTGTAAAGGACGTGAAAGTTCGTCTTAGATGTGTTGAGCATTTTTTCTTTGATTTCTTGTTTATAAATGTTTAATCGATAGCTGCATTTAACGGTTTCCGTAGGTAATTCACGATATAGCGTATAATTCTATTAGTCGACGATATACATCACGGACGCACGTCTCAAACGAGCCTCTTCTACTCGCACAAATAAAAGTACGTACGATCGATGAAAGTTCTATTCTCGTCGTAGTTGTGTGTCATTCGACTTTTCTTCGGAAAAAAGTTCACCGATCGTCAATTTCGTGTGACCTTAATCCTGGCAGCGACACTCGATCAATTGATACGTTCAATTGATAGGCGTCGCATTAGATTAAACGAGTAGCATTATTTCGTGGAAGACGACGAATCGATTAGATCGCTTCGAGCAAACTTTATATCTCATCGATCGGAATGTCTATTAATAGACATTTCGATTGGTCAGCGGTTGATAAACCTTTAATCGTCATTGATTCATCCGTGACTCGATCGAAATCACGTGGTCTCGTTAGGTATTTGAATTTCTCTTTAGCTTTAATAAGTTCGACCTTCGGTATATCAGCGAGAACGAGTATCGAATGACGAACACGTTGTCCTGCGATGATAGAACTTGATCGATTTCTCGAGCAAAATAGACGAATGTAATCGATAAAACGAATTCGCTAACAGGCAAGGCTGCCATGAAAATTGTCGCGGATATTTTTGTCGTCGGCGAGTTCACAGTAGAACGAGTCAAGCGTTTCCCCAGCGACCGGCTAAAGGACTCTACTTTTATCGTGGGAAATTTCCGGAACTCTGCTGTCATACGTGACAACGCAAAGGTACGGAAATAACGAACGTAATAATCGATATCTAACAACCGGTACGATTTCTTAGAAACTCGAACACAGAAGATAGACCAATACCTTCCCAAATCGAGCAGACTGTCCAAGATGTTGACGGCTCTTCCGCTGTGCGAAGTAGTCATCGATTTTCGAATTCCAGGATTCCCTGGGTGAATGAGTAGCACCAGGATAACGCCAAGGACAGCGTTAAGAAACGACGTGAGTATAAAGTACACCAAAGTTCGAACGGCGATCATGCCGTTCATTCTTGCGTTCAAACTGGCCGAGCCTGAAATTTAATCGCATTTCAACGTCGCTTTCCCAAACAAATTTTTTTTATTAGACCCTCATTAATCCTTTGCACTATAATTATTATCTTGCGAGGGGAGCACATGACCTTCGGAATTTGCTTCAAACTTAGTACGATCATGTAGGATCTTAATAACATTACAAAATCATACCAACTTCTCGAAAGTAAGCGATTCAAAGTTTTGCAATTTATGTTCAACCGATTGAATCGAATTTTAAAGAATGTTGTCAGCATCTCTTAGTCCAAAGGATTAATAATTATCAGGCAATGATATTTCATCGTGACTATGTTTCTTGTTTCAATCTTACCAGATATAAGACTGGCAATCACCAGTGGTAAAATCATTAACTTCAACAACCTCATGAACAGTTCTCCAGGATAACTGATTAACATAACCGCGTCATCGCCAAGGCTCAAGGGTCGCAGACCGAACCCTGAAAAAAACAATCAGATTACGAATATAACAGCTGCTTTTAGAGGGCTTAAAGCTGTTCAAGGTGAACGTGACGAAATGACGCAATAAGATTAAAAACAAGTCCTGCCTCTGAAATGTTGAAATATAATTATCTCGAATTGTACGCGTTTGCGATTACATTAAGATTACAAATTTTTCGATCGAACCATTGTAATATATCATTTGACAGAATAAAATTCGTAGAGTCAATGTATTGTATCTTTCGAAGAGTCTACGAAAATAAATAAAGCCATCGAGTGGGTGTAAACAGGTCAAGTTATAAAAGAGTCCGCTTATCGACATACGTGCGCGAAACCGATGAAAGCTTTCCGTCGAAATTGTTGCATAATTGATCAACTAATAGGAACGATTTGCATAGATTTAGAGACATCGTATTACGTAGAGTTTTATCGAGAGGAAGTTCCGTCGTTCGAACAATTCGAAAACCACTATCTCGGAATTAAAATCGAACAAAAGAAGGGTAGATCCACTCTCCACTCGTTTGAAAACAGGTCGCGTTTCAACGCATCTTTGAAGGAGTTGATTCGGGCGGATGAAACGCTCGTTCAAGGTTGATTGGTCCTTTAGCCTACGTGCAGGCAAGTTAATTAGATGAGACTTTTGAAAGAAACCTCTTGCCGATGATTGACACCTTTTAACGGGATAACGTGGTTACCGGTTTTACGTAACCGATGTTAATTTCGATGTGGGTCGTTCCCGTCGATCCCGAACGAAACCTATTCCGTGCATGCTCTTTGTTCCTCTGTCGGTTCAAGTTCACGACAGCCGATTCCTTAAGAAATTAATCGTCTCACCGGGGTGGTTACACATGACTAAGAACGTCGAAAGATGTAAGAGGCGTTTCGTAACCTGTGATGCAAGAAGCAGAGATTATGACATATATTTTAAAATGACGCGTATTCATAAATTCCGTAGATAATATAATTAAAACAGTTGAGAGGATATTTGAAAATTGTTTGCATCAGTTTCTTGCTTCGGAAAAGTGTTCGTGGCAATAAGTGTGCTAAATACATATATGTATATCGGATTAGTCGATATAGCGACACGTTGCCGAACCTATGTTGAACCATGAGTCAACAACACTTTCGCGTTTCGTCGGTTACCACCTCGCGGGGGCGTTCGGAACGCGACATATCGTTCAACTCGGAATCACCGCTTTGAAATTTCTGGAACCACCTACTTCATGCATATTCTTGTAGAACCTCCCAGATTTGAATGCTTGCTCTGGTTGCTGTACGATTGCTTTTTTTAATTAGAGAAAGACAAAAGAAGGCTGAAAGAACGGTTAAACAACAGTTACGCCACAGAATAGGTACTAATAACCGCCCGAGAGTGGGGAACACAAAGAATGGCGTTAATTCGAAAGTTCTTTATTTTTCTCGTTACGAAACAGGCTGTATTCGATAATTACGAAGCCCCGATCGCAAAGTAGCGTACATAACCGAGCCATTACCTGCACGTGCGTGACATTTGTACACGTGACAAGGGAGGACGCGAGAAAAACGCAATAGAAATAAGAGCGAAAAGTTATCTTGTCCATGGGCTGTGATCGATTTAACAGCAGCGTAGTAGTGAAAAATAAGATCGGCTCGTATCGGATGAACTCGACCTTGGCACGCTTCCCCGTAATGGACGAAAGCGTAGGCCGCTTTTGGCACGACGTAATCGTTATCTAGGATACGTAACGTGGCCCTAAATTCTTCTCGCCGCGTTCGCGCGTATCGTAAAGGAACGTCGAGGAAAGTTTGCTAACTTTCTCCGACAGGGGAGCATCGTTATCCTTTCCTCTTCTCCCTTCGTTACTCTCGATACGGCTGACATTTACTTGGCATATCGTCGACGAGTTCACGAAGGAATCAGGTCAACGCGTTCGTCGGGTTATTCGAACGCACGAGCAGGGAGATCTAGGTAAGGATTAATTAGAAAATTATCGGACACTTACCGAGTATTACGCCGAACATCACGCCAGACAAGGTGACCACGAGGAGAAGATTCTCCCGGATGAACTTCCTGGTGTCGGCGGTCACCTTACGGGGACC